ACCATGTTCGCTAAGCTTGTAAAGTGGGTACCACTGGATCACTCAGAATGGCTTGGAGCATATTCAGGGGACAGAAGGTCCTATACTAAAGTAAACAGAATTAGATGAAACCGGAGGTCTCAAGAATGGCAGTTTCTCAAGGAGCCATCCTTGAGCCACTTTCACTTTCACTATTCATCAGTGACCTTCCCACTGAAATTCCCCAATCTGTCATTCTATTTCCCGGTGATATCAAAGTACGGGGGATAGTAAGTAGGGAAAAGGATCTTAGGATTCTCCAAGACGATCCGTTGTAACTGGAGTCCTGGTCAGCTGTAAACGCCATAAACTTCAGCCTGCAGGAATTCTAGGTGATTTATCATTGCACAACAGAAGCGACGAAGACCAGGCACACCCTCAACTAGTGTACAATCACCTAGGTACTCGCAGGGAAGGACGCGGGTTTGACGGTATCCCCACCAAAAATGGACTGGATGGCTCGAAAAAACTTGGGCACAGAGTTGGTAGGATTCATTTTCTAAGGTGTATTTTTACTTGTATAATCCCCGCGTAGTGTATTAGAACAAATAACAAAATATTTATTTATTTTGTTATTCGTTCTAATATACTGCGCCGGGGTTGCAAAAGTGAAATTACACGTTATACGATGAAGGACACAAGACTGAACTTCTCAGACACGCTGGACACTAGTGTGAAGTATGAGGGAATGGCAACAAAAACGGACGCCGTTATGCATTTCCTAAGAAGACAGCTCGGGGCGCGAACCCCATAATATTCCTCTTGGACCTTAGGACTTGTGTCAGATAGCACCCAGACGTACCAACACGATAGCCTCCCGCTACTAAAAGGCAATGCGAACGCTGTCAAGGAGGTGCAGAGAAGGGCGACGAGGTCGGTTGTCAAACTAGTGAGCAAACATATGCACAACGCCCCAGACAACTCACTCGTCCACATTAAACTATCAAGGGAAGAGAGGCTACTCGGTAACAGCCTGCGAGACCATTGACTAAGTGAACCGCACAGGTAGGTCGACATCATGGGCCCAAAACCTACAGTCTCGTGGATATCCCACTAGCATTCCCCAACACGAAGCAAAGACGGTAGTGAAATCAGACTTCTTCTCATGCAAAGCATGTGCCTTATGTAAGCTTCACCAGGGAAAGTAGCCACAGCCACGCCAGCTGACTTCTTAAACAACAGTTGAATGAGTTCGTGAGAGCAAACGGCTTACCATGAAAATCTGTCTATAGCGATTGAAGACATACTTATTCCCGCCCTGTATTCCTCAACCTTGGTTTCTGCAGTAAGACGCACCTCTTCCCCATAATATTACCAGTAACAATCATTTTTCCATAAGCACCTTTCATTCCTCTTTTCCTCATTTCCCACTCACCTTATTTCTGTAACGTTTTAATTAACGCTCAATACTCACTTGCAGGTGCCTATAAATGGGTGGATTGCAAAAGGTTGACCGATCTTGTCAACAGCTATGTTGCCCCCAAACAAATCAAGCTATAATTTCCAAGAAAAAGTGTCCGCAAATAGACAAACCCCGCCTCCAAAGCCATAAGCAGGAAAAGTAAAGACTCCTAGTATAGTGAATCTGATGCATTTTCTGCGGGTGCAAACCCAGGGAACATAGACAGACAGAGAGGAGATTCAAGCCCCTGCCGTTGGCCATCCCAAATCTAAAGATCGAACGCTTGGACGGCGAGCAAGAATTCTTATCAGTTTTGTCCCATATCAAATAATCTCAATCAAACAGATTGGTGGGTCTGGTAGCCCTCGGTTCCACCTCTCTATTAAAAGCTTGTCAAAACCGATCCTCTAAGGGCTGACAGCACATTCCTAACCAGATCTGTTTCTGGGTCTTCCGGCCATCGCGTCCTCATCCGCTGTACCTACAGCAATATGCGTGTTCTGTGCTCCAAGATGCCAGAGTTAAGGTTATTAGTTGATGAGGATGGCCCTAGCACGATGGCTTTCTGTGAAGCAGCTCAGGGAGAACATGAGAGATGAGGAAGTCCATCTAGGACAGGTCGGCCCAGTCCAGAAGGATAGACAGGAGGGTCCAGGAGGTGGTGTTGCTCTCAACTCCTGTTCTTCCTTGAAAACCCATGAAATTCAGTCCCATAGAATTGGCACTAAGGACGTTCTCTAGTGTAGCATTAAGTGCTGCGGAGGTTCATGTTTGGTTGCAGTCTTATACCACCGTTCTGGAGCCGCTACCACGCTGAATAAAATGTTGGTACGATTCATTGGAGAAGCCTCGGAACTGAACTTTCCACATGTTTTCATTATGGAAGGTTTTAACTTCCCCCAACTCCTTACCACCGCAAGTCTATCTGCCGCTTTAAAAGACTTTCGGGAGTTGTTACTGGAAAACTCCTTGACTGAGCATGTCTCTCAGTTTACTCGCCAGGGTTTTGACGGTGAAGCATCCCGACTTGATCGTATTTTCACAAATCAGTTTATTGGGGTGACCAACTTGAATGTTCTTAGTCGTCTTGGGTTGAGTGACCATGCAGTTGTCTCCTTAAATATTTATGTATCAAGACCGCCTGCTCCTGATAAGCCGCTAGTCGGGAATTGTAGGAGAACCGATTTTGAAAAGGTAGGGCAAGGTCTAGAAGGTTCCTCTCGCCTAAATTGTGATGGCCTGCCAGATCTGGATGCCGGGCGGGAGCTTTCGAAGGACGCAATCCTTCGGACGATAAATAATGAAACTCCCATGGTTCCAAGAACTTACAAGTTCTGCTCCTCCTAGCTTGTTAAGCACGCGCGAACTTATGGGGCGTGAACGATTATCTTGGAATCAATGGAGGGTCACTATAGCCCAATCGACTGGCCAAATTACAAACACATCCGTCGCAGATGTAGGATGGGAATCAAAAGTGACAGAACAAACTGCCAGACGCAACTGTTCAGAACCCTGGAGGGGAATCATGGGATACTATATTTGCTGATGAAAAAGAAGAGTAGCAGTCCACCCAGTATACAGGACCCCGGTAGTTCAAAGATTCCCTACCCTAACTTGCTAGCTCATGAATTCCAAAGCAACTTCTATCATCTGGGAGGGACAACCATGTGTCTGTCAGGCACCTGTGTTACAGAGGGGCCAAACTGTATAAAGTTTGAACCCCTTACAATCATGGAGGTATTAAAGAATTTGAACCCCAGTAACTCTCCAGGAGTTGATGAGATTCACCTAAGAGTTCCCAAAGAGTGTGCTGAAGTTCCGTGTGCCCCACTAGCAAATCTGTTCAGATGCTTGTTTCAGGAAGGCAGGCTACCCTCTGGTTGGAAATGGGCGACTGTCGCCCGAATATATAAAGGTGGAAACAAACTACTTGCCTCCAACTACAGACCGATCTCCCTAATATCTTCAGTTGCGAAGGCCACTGAAAGAGTCATAAACGACTCATTTCGTGATCGTTTACTCCAAAAATCAATCTTAAAAGACTCCCAGCATGGTTTTTTTTACCTGGAAGGTCATGTAATACCAACTAGTTTATAGATTCAAATAGCCGCTTTCCCCGTCGAGCAGAAAAAGCCCCTTTACATTAGTTTACTTGACTTTTCTAAGGCCTCTGACAGGGCGAATCATGATATCCTATGTAAGAAGCCTCAGCTCATAAATGTAAACGAAAAGTTGCTGATTTTTCTCGGAGACTATCTTTACACGAGGTTGCAGTACGTTGGAGTTGGCTCTTCCCTATCTAACTGGTTCTGGGTGCTGTGTGGTGTGCCTCAAGGTTCCGTACTCGGCCCACTACTGTTTCTTACTTTTGCCAGTGACTTATCAGGGGCCCTCGATGCCCATTCACCACCGTGTGCTGATGATCTGAAGAGTTGGGAGGAAATACAGGTGCCAACGGACATGTCTGTCTTCCAGGAGGACCTTACGAATATCCTTAATTGGACTACAGAAAACCTGCTTCCTCTCAACTCAAAGTGCCGGATAGTGATGGTTGACAGCTGTGAAAGCAGTCCCAGTTGCCGCTTTCCGAGTGAAACGAGTATCTGTCATTCTGACATGAACACAATCTTGGAGTTACGTTAGGCGACACACTAGGAGCTTCAGTCCGCTGTCGCCTTGCAGCCAACATGGCCAATGGAGTCTTGGGGTATATTTCGCAAACTTCAGGGTGTCTAACCACTTCTCTTTTCACCACAGTGTGTGCTGTGTGCATTCTCCCTCATCTGTAGAAAAGTTGCCTATATTTGAAGAAGGACATATCCATCCTAGAAGGGGTACAGAGAAGAGCTACAGAGAGAGTGATTGGGTTGCGGTACAAAACTTACCAAGACCGCTTAGTTGCTCTTAAGCTGCATCCAGTACAATACCAGAGAATTAGAGGTGACATGATTATGATGTACCACATCGCTCATGACCCCCTTCATCCTAACAGATCCCTTCTAAGGTTTAACCGGAAACACCACCAAAGGGGTCACCCGTTAAGAATAGAGCATGAGAGAGCACGTACAAAAATCCGTGCTAGCTCGTTTGCAAATAGAGTTTGTATACTGTGGAACTTCCTTCCTTCAGCAGTTGTTACAGCCACATCCACTGAAGCTTTCGGAAGGAGGTTCGTCTCACATCTTGAACCTTGCGGTACCGTAGGGCTGTACCCGAGAAGCTTTCCGTCATCTGCAGATTAGGTGTAGTAATACTACTTTCAGATCAGGTTAATTACTAATCGACCATCTTTATTCTTTCAGGTTTTTCAGAAACAGGAAGATAATTGTGACCACTCCAAACCCAGAACGTACTCCAATAAGACGGACGTAGAGCCCAAGGGACCGTCATTCACTAATTTTACAACACGAAGTTTGAAGTTCTGCGACCACTGAAGGAGTATAATCGAACAAAAAGAACTGAGCCTGAAGATCTAGAAGCGAGAGCTCAAAAACTACAAGTTTCATCTACTCGCATTATTGATGGATTTTCGTACCGCTACTGTGTTTTGTGCAATCACAGTGCAACGATAACATGAACAGCGGCACTTCGCAATTACATGGGAATGCACTCGGTAAATGCTGTAATATGTGGGAGGAATCAAGTTACAGCATCCATTATAAGGATAATCAGAAGAATTAAGCATCTTAATATAGTTGGGTACTGGTGTGAGTCTATTACGTCTCAGCTTCATGCAGATGTGGCCGGCATTAAAGTAATCAATAGTACTTTCGACGACCTATTATCTCATAAGGACATACATGTATTGTTTCTGTGTGATACTCCATTCAGTCAACACAGTCTTGTGTCTAGACTCTATGAGCAAGGAAAAACTCTGTCAACTGCAAGCTGTGTGCCACTTCAAGTTACGCCGTATGTGGTTATCTTGCCACCTATATCACCTAATTATGATCTTGACATCATGAAGAAATTGAGCTTTCGAATTGGGGTTGCAATGCCTCTACGAAGACTTCCAACGTCGACTCTTCTATTTCCTCATCTTAGCCAAAATCCAAAACAACTTAAGTTACTCAATACGTTTGATTCTCTGCAACTTCCAGCTCACTGGCGTTTGGGTAACCTAGAAAACATTCATATACGATTGTCAACATTGAGGTTTGCTGATGGCTGTGAGTACTCATGGTTATGTGAGTCAGAAAATATGGGTGGAGGATTGTTAAATATCTTTTGTCCTAGCCTGATTGACCTTGTATATACGCTAACGGGCTTACAGATGACTTCGGTCACATGTTTCTGTCGAACATTTGGGGGAGAGTTGAGTGGTCGTGCACAGTCTCTACGTCGAATTTCGGCAGATGACTATATTACTGTTTTGGGAGAACTAGACACGCCGTCAGTTCCCGAAGCTCGTAGACCGGTTGTTGTTATCGTACTTTCTTCAGATATCCCATTCTCAGACGATAGGATCTGCAAGCGTACTGAAGTTTACTCATGTGAAAATCACCGTTTCAGGTTACAAATAGAAATTATTGGTTCGGGTGGTAGCTATATGATCGATGAGGACAAAAGACAGATATCTTGGACTCCGCGGAAATTGTGTTTACCTAAGCCTAAACTTGGTTGCGACGAAACTTCACCGACATCGGCAAAACATGAGTACAACAACTCCACGCATGATCGATTACTTAAAGGAACTAGTTGTATGGATGAATTAACTAACGGTAAGGAGCTGAATGGGCATTCATTTAGCGCTTTCGGACCAAGCGCTATGGGGCAGATGGAGACACAAACCACTCACTTGCTGCGGACACAGACTATCAACAAATCAAATGTACAAATAAAGAAGTTAGATGAACTGACAGAAGTTGCGCAATTATCACTGAGTGTAAGTCATGGTAGTTATCCTTGTGTTGCTGTTGGTTTATAATAACTACTGATATCCACATATAAAGTGGCTGTATCATGCACTACTTCTTTCATGATTTGTTGTCAGCTAAATTTATTTGACACTGATGAACTGCGAACTCGAGGTTACTGAGAGAAAGTCGTGCATGTAGATAAGGTGTTTGACCAACGGCATGTCGATTAGTGATGTAAGTAAAAACTACTTTTTCAGCTGAAGTAAATTAGCCTCATAAGAACACTAAGAAATTTTGTAACATAATGCGATACGGTCTGGCGACATTATGTTGTGTGGGATAAAGGGGATGGATAAGGTTATTCTGGGAATTGGCTTTCGTTCACTAGTAATTGCGTTTAACCAAGAAGTCATTGTCGGTTGACAAGGCCAGCGAGGGGTATACTTCATTTGTTGAATGACAACTCTGCCAACTAAGAATGGCCTGCTAGAGATTTAGGAACCTCAATCCTACTATGAAGATTTCGGGGAAATAGGGTAGATTAACTCATACATCCCTCATTGTTTTCCGTCGAACAAGCATATTGTGGAAATGATATCCGTATTGGCTTTGTTAAACCTAACAACTTTCTCACTTAACTCATTGTTACTTAACGGTATTAATGCCATATCGTTGCTAGTTTCCAATGTTTACATGGTGCAGTAAGTTAAACTGATATCTGTTTCTCAAACTTCTGTCTCAGTGGTTTTTTACACTATAATATTCGTTTGTTGAATAATGGTTCAATATAACCCTTATTTATCATTATGATACATACAAGTTCTGCTAGGTTATTTCAACTATCTTAATCTATTTGGTTGTCTCATTCATGAGGCATCCACATGTGTGGTATGTGAAGCATATTTACGCTTATCTATTTCGGGTAAGTTATTCATAATAGAACTTAGGTGAAGGGTGATAAAGACCAATGAACTCATGTTCTGCGAAATCGGTTACTTATATTGAAGTCAAATCTACTAAGCTCGGTAGATTACATTTGCTAAGAAAGCTTGTAATAACCTTTTTTACAGATGGTGCTGAGAGTTAGTCCACGTCACAACGCATCGTTTCGTTTTTATACACTTATAAAGACTTAGCTGAGTTGTTCATATAACATTAAATTTCGTAAGTACTCTGCTTACAAATACTGTTTTGGTCAGCCTTTTACAAGGAAAAAGGAAATTTTAGTTGGTTACATCCATAGAGATCAATGTTTTTAACATTACTTTGGCGAGGTACAAGGAACCTATCTAGTTGTGTACATACTCTGGGCATGCACGTGTAGATAAGGCGTACTTGTACAAGCTTACTACTGTGACAGTTGACTGGTTTATATAGTTCCCTCTCTGAGTTGACAATATCGTTCCTCAGTAGTTGGGTCCTTTATCTTATCCTTTAGCTTAAATCATTTTTTTTCATTTCCATAGAACTCGACGTTTAACCTGGAATCAGGAGAAGGCGTGCAATATTGCCAACTATCTGTGGTCGGAGAAACGTGGTCCAATTGGTTCAGTAATTTAACGACAGGCTTCTCGGAATCAAAATCCTTTGAATCTCTACTGGCACTACCGGATCATTGGGGTTATATCCAGTCAGTGATACAAGCGATTTCTAAATCTGCGAGACTAAGATGTTGGATCGATGTGGAGACTGGTGAACGTATTTAGTACTTTAACACGAACTTTATGCAAGAAAAAGGTGAAGCGTCTGACGTCTCACGGTCCTGATCTCGAATATGCTTTATATGATGCTGCATTTTAGTCAAAAACGACTAGTCCAAATCCTGCTGAGACTACAGTACTTGATTTATACTCAGAAAGTTCAAGAACTATGGTCGCGAAAACTAGTATTGTATATATACTTCCCAAATAAATTACGTTAAATCAGTTTTCGGGACCTTCAGATATCGAAGTAATGGTAAGAAAACGGCGCTACTTATTACGTTTTAGGAGCGCTAATGACAATCATGCAACCGTTTTAACCTGACAGCTGTTTCCTAATGATGCGTTGCCACTCAAGGTTGGTGAAACGACTCATGGGAATCGGAGACATATTCCGACGAGTGTAGTTTAGTGTCGAGTTGAAGTATGGATAACACATACCTAATAAGCGTTGCTAAAGAGTAGGGGCTACGAAATGTTTAACTACTTACGTTACGTCCATAAACGCAATAGCTTCATTTCATTTGTAAACGGTTGAGAGAACGGTACTTTTTTATGAAGATAACACTGCGAGTGTATTTAAAGTGTACAGAGTGAGACTCATTCATATTGAACAGATGTCTTGTTTTCAATTGATTACATCACCGTGATAACCTAAGAAAATGCATCTACAGAGGATGTGAAAATGGGGTAGCCTAAATTTACAAAATGTCCTGATTCCAATAAATATTTTCACACTTGGGAAACTGAAAGTCTGTATTTGTAACAAAGATATTGTTCACATACAGTTTTGTGTTCATTTTTGATAAAGATCAAAACCAAACAATGAGAACTTTAGGGAAACGTAAACCAGAAATAGTTCAATTTAGGTGCTTTACTAAGTAGAATAATTCAGTAGTCTTTTCTCAGCCATGAACTGAAGTTTATCCACGCCGAGGTAGACGGCACATTTCGCACTCATCAGTATCTGGACTGTTGTGGAAAGTACAGTGTGAACACGCCCAGTGGTTGGGTCCTGAAGGTCTTGAATCTGTGGCGCTTGATGCAAGTCCCTGAAAAGACCGACTTGATTTCAGCGTGGATGTTGCTCCTACGTCGACGGAAACAGGTGAGCTACTAATTGCAGAGCGGTAAGAGCCGGGCTGAGATAATTGTGGACTAGGTGGTATGTCTGTTAAAAAAAAAAAGAAGAGTGATTGCCTGTAACAACTCATTGCATAGGATATACTAAAATAAAAGTTTTTTCTTTTATTCAGTTAACCAAACTGAATCCATCACCTCAACTTGAAAAGTTAACAAGGTTAACGATAAATTTTAAAAAATCTAGCTAGCTCTTTACACTTAGACGTTCAACCCGTAACTAATGGTGTAAATGGTAATAAACCGCGAACATTTTAGTACATACATAATTCACGTTTGTGATGTAGGGACTAATGATATACTCGGCATAGATAAAACAGTCCGATGATTTAATCATAATACGCCTTTCCCTGTTCTTTACCAACTTCTTTGTGGATAATATTGTCTAACTATACATAAAGTTAGACCAGCGTATGTAACAAAAAAGGTGGGGAGTAATGTAGGCAGTGAAAAAGGCTTTAAATAATATGGGATCCCGTGAGCAATCATCCCTTTGCAGCTCTGAATTGAACGAATACGATCCAATATGAACTTTGGTCAAGTTATAAATATATATTTCTTCCTGATCAAAAAGCATTACAGTCTTCGTGTTGATTGGTATCAAACTGTCGAGATCCAAGTCTACTCAACAGAAAAGTAGAATTTAGGCGTTGTGGTAGAGTACAATTTTAATATAGTTCTCTTATATGTATCACGGTGAAACAATGCTTGTTTACTGATGACGTCTTGAGCACAATTTATTGCCCAATCATATCAAGGTAAGTACATAACCTGGTTTAGTTCTGTTACTTTTCATTCGTTAGTTTCACAGGCAGTAAAATCTTCCGAATATCCGGAACTGGTGTTGCATCATTCTTATTACATGTATCAGATGTTGACTCGATAAACAAAGCTTCGGTTACAAATTTATCTCTCTCTAGCTAATTTCGGATATGTGAAAAATTTTAAGACTAATCAAATGAGGATAGAAAAGTAAAAATATGGAAATTTAGCCAAAAAGTTGCATCGGAAAATCGAAACTCTCAGCACGTTTGTGCAGTAGGCAAATGATACTACCTGGCTGCCCAAACGTGGACAAATGGAGCAGTGTTCGAACTCGTAACTCACTAGTTAGGAGTCAGCTATCTAGACCAACGAGACACAGCTCTATTGTGATTATCCTGACATAACTATGAGTAATAGATTCCTCTCCAAACATCATCCAGTAAATAATACTGTCTGTGTGGTATCAATAAGAAAGAACAATAGTTAACACCACAACAAGGTTGAAAACTTTAGTCCTAAAACATTTATTTGACAAAGCAGCTGATTCTGGTTTCAGCTCCGAGATCTAGGTCTATTTAGCATCATTAACACACACATTAGGTGTAGCTCATTACACAGTGCACATAGTTGCTGAATTACATTTATATCAAGAGTTTATTTCTCATTAACTTGGGATCAGACTATGTTGATATCTTTTGGCAATAAAATTTATCTAATAGGTTGGTTGCTTATTTGTCCAAATATAAACTTTATTTGCATATTACTTTCCATGACTGCTTCTTTTTGTGACAGAATTCCAAACTGTATCCAAAATATCTTGAATAAAGCGATGGTTATCAGCAGATAATGAAAGTAAGAGATGACTAAAGTTGAAACAAAAAGCTGGCTAGGGTTGGGCGACACGGTGAAGCTGGTAGGGCACTATATCGGTGATGGGAAGGCTACTGATTTGAACCCTGTTACAAGCCAGGTTTCTGTTTCAAAGAAACGCAACTTACCGGAGACAACTGCATTAGTTAACTCCTGTACAGTAGCCCAAATCGGTGAATCAATTGCCCATTTCTTGACAGCTGTTTCAGATTCATTTACTGGTGTAGATGATTGACCATAACAACTTGAAGCAATTGCATTTAACAGACCGGCTATCCCATGACTATCTTCATTCATTCTACCTTCAGAGTCAAAAAGTTGCAAACCAAGCGTATCATTTCCAGCTAACCAGGCAAGGAGGTGAAAATTAGCTAGACATGTATAAATTTGATTCATCCCAAATCTGTGAAATACACGAGCAAAACTAGGAATATCCTATACAGAAAAGGAGAAAAATAAGAATAAAATGAAGTAAAAATGACCAATACAATCAATATCCTTAAAACAAGAAGTAACTTTTCTAACTTATGTCTAGAATGAAGTAACAAACAGATATATATGATAAAAGGCTATATCAATAGAAGTGTAGAAGCTTATGTAGAAATGTTTCAGTTCAAGTTGTTACAATTCGCAACAATAATGTTAGAGCACAGACTATACATAACTCATAAAATTTATTTTTCTGGGTCCAACAAACAGCCACACCAAGACTATATGTTGGTGTGAATCTACCACGATAGTTTGACGGCACTACGCAGAAATTATTGCAACTGTGTACAGAAAAAGCACATTCAACTACTAGTATGTGTTTATTTAGTTCCGGTGTATAAAATACATCTAAGAAATTTGCCTATAAAGATTTATATTGAGAAAACGGATTATTTACAATACAATAATGATACTGAAATATCCTTAAATCACAATCAAACAAAGAAAGAATGATCTTTAAACGTGTTTTGCTCACTATTCAATTAAAGTCAGGACTATTTCTTTACTTATGAGACATTCAATGCGAACCAGGTGATAAATCAATGTGGATGCAGACTTTCATTTCAGTATACGGTTTAAAAACCCTGAACTAATTTCAAGACTTTCAACCAACCTATATCAAGCGTCATTGAAATATCCAACTACCTGTCAAATGACGGATATACTGCGTGTAGATTCGTTTTGTCCTGTTATACGGCTGTTGAAAGTAAAAGACGTGGAGCGATTATAGGGTTTTGATCATAGATTTCTTTGTAGCATTGCTCACGAGGGGTACTAGGCAAGACAGGTCGGCAAGTCGATTGGTGAGGTTGTGAAATTTAGTCGATTCAGATGACCTGAACATGTGTTGACCATGGCAAGTCATCGCCTACTTCGATGCGGCATGATAGGGGAAGATAGATGAGGTTGGAAGAGGGTTGACGGTGGCCAGATCACGACCTACCACCAGTCGACGAAGTCTCTTACTGTTGGTTGGAGCCAATGTGGGGAGATGTAGACTACCTGGTTGAGGTCCCCGAGACAAAAGGAATCAGTGGTTGAGGACTGTTGATGAGATGGCTGAAAATCGGTGACAATGGCGCAGATGTATTCACTCCTTGAGATCTTCGTAAATTTGAATATTCGCACTAACTTTCATCTTCAAATTGTTTATTCTCTCACATAACTTTTATCTACTTTGATATCACTATTTTCCAACCCACCTATTTGTGTACTACTGTTAAGTATAGCAACTTGAGCCGATACATTTGTGTGCGAGGTTCTACTTTGATTCCGTCTGTCACTGAGCAAATATCGATATATTTCCAGCACAATTATCATTTGTGACTAGCTAAACTCACCATATAAGTTTAGTGTAACAGATACGTAGCACACATCTAACCCTAACTCTATTTATATTCAATTACAAAGTGATGATGACCTAAATCTCTATGAAAAAGAGTTGTATTTCGTTTATATATCATCGTATAAGGTATCTTGTTTATATTGAACATTGATTACAAACCACAACATAATTGATTTTAGATTAAAAGCCAGTATATATGACCAAATTATGCTTAGTAAATTAGTTAGTTGTTCAGAGGGCATTAAAATATCTATGTAAGCATATATGTCTTAAATTTGATGATAGACATTAAAATATACAATATGAAATTACAACCGTTTCCATGTACAACGATATAAATTGTTTGCTACAGTTGGAAATAATAACATCAAAAACAAGGTGTAAATAATTGCAGTGTCCACGTAAATCATACTCTCTAAGTACAATTTGGGTTGAAAACAACCAATGTTCCTCCTGTTTTCTTTGAAGAAAACAATTAATCGATTAAAACGGATGACAGGATCAATATAACATTTAGTCACCCAAAAGAAATTGATATTCAAAGTTGATAATAGAAAAAAACATTAACAGTAAAAACACTTCAACTAAAGGATTATATTCATAAACATAAAACGAAATTAGATGAGGCTTTATTTCAGTTAGCGTGAATCTGATTCTGGAGTTTTAATGATGCTGAAAAAACACTAAAACAAATGCAGTTCAAAATTCAAATGTACGCACACGTGTACTGATTATTAAATTATTAGGTCGACAGTGTCATTGGATAAGACAAGAATTTTATCAAGCGTAATCAATAAATAATATTACATAATTGTGAAGAGCCAGCCAATAGATGGAAAGACTGGTGAGGGATGTTAGTTGGATGCCATCGGCAGGAAGTCCAAGACCTAGGTTTCCCGCTTGTCAGCACTCATGAGTATTGCGCCGCCGTGATATCCGTTTGTCTACTAAGAGTCGCGTGTACTGCACAGCAGTCCGCTCTGTTCTAATGTACGGCCGTGAAACATGGCCATTGGAAGTGGAAGATATAAGAAGGCTTCAAGTGTTTGACCACCATTGCCTTCGTAGTATAGGACGTATTCCGTGGTGTCACCATGTGAGCAATGCAGAAGTCAGGTGTAGAGTTTTAGGGAGAAGAGGTAAGTCAGTTGACGAGGTTATAAACCTTCATCGATTGAGATGGTTGGGACACGTACTACGCATGCCCAGTCACCGATTGCCTTGTCACACAATGTTGGCCGAAGCAGGTCCAGGCTGGAAAAAGGCCCGAGGTGGCCAGACTAAAACATGGCACCAATGTATGAAGTCTCTGACTGTTGGTTTGAACCATGTGGGGCGATGAAGACTAGGTCGTTGGGGTCCGCGGGACAAGAGAAACCAGTGGTTGGAGACTCTAGGGGATATGGCTCAGAACCGATGCCAGTGGCTCAGATGTATACACACATTATCCTCATCTTAACGACGCTATACTGATTCTCACCATTTTATCACTCCTCCTTTCTTTCTTCTCATACTTTATATTTCTTTTCAGTGAATTTTCTTATCTTCATCTTTCACATCACTACCTTTCTACTTGATGTACTGGTATGAGCTGTAGCAACTCGGACCGTTACGCAGTAATGCCTGGTCCTATTTTGATATTGATTGATTGACAACCTCGAAGGGACTGGTGTCCTATTTGAGATTCGAATCCGCGACACAAGATGTTGCAGTCCGTGAAGTAGCTAATGAACTATTCAGACCATGATTGACCTCCTGGAGGACTGAATTAGATACACTGGCCATCCGATGGCAACCACCACTCTGGACTGTACAAAATGAAATTGGTTGTTCAACAGTGACCAATCAATGTAAACTTATGGGGAGTTTCCTACAAGTACACTATATTCTTAACAGACATTTAGGTGACAATACTAATTATATTATGATTGAGTGATCCTCCATGACTAAGGGACCTTTTCAAGTTGGAACAGTTTCTTACATTTTAATCAAGTAGTGTGCGGAACAAATTCCAACCAGCGCAAATTAAACTAGGTCATAGCAAACACGGTTTCACAGGGAAAATGAGGATTCTAACTCCTAACACAAGCACAGTTCACCCGGAGAATATATATATATACCTGGTAGCTACTACCTTGAATTGGTCAGTGTTATCCATCACAGTAACCAATTCCAGTCATGCTCTGTTTCACTTATTCCTTAAGATCGTATCGCTCCAATAAAGTCAAGATAAACGGTTACACAAAAGTGATTTGAACTGTATTATGAGTCATAATCCTGCTGACTGGGCAGAAATGTGATCACAGGACAAAGTTTTTATCACAACAAAATCATTCCTACCTGAATTGCTATTTAAATTTGAAAGGGTAAGATAGATTTGGAGCTAGAAACTGTGCTGCAACTTAGCATTTATTTGGGGTTACTAAGGATACCAATAAACCTCGCCTGGTTAACTAGTTTACTAGTTACTAGCCGGTCCTAAGCCCGGGTATACAGGGAAGGTTGGGCATAGGGCTAGCAACCCTACCCCGTAAAACAAATCTAACCGCTAAACAAACTTCAAAGCACAAACAAAATATAAAAAATGAAAACAAACTTATTCCCCGCTGGAATCGGAGAGGCGAAATGACGCCAGTTGGTGAAAGCCTTCGGGAAGCCAATTGGCCGATGTGTCTTCTCTCCCTCGATGAAAGCGAAAGTAAACGTGGGGACATGGAATGTCCGCACCATGTTTGAACCCAGTAAGGCAGCCCAGATTGCAAGGGAGATGAGAAGGTATAACATCGAAGTGCTTGGGATTTGCGAAAGTAGATGGAATGGGAGTGGACTCTCCAAACTGTCAACTGGAGAATCAATAATCTACTCCGATACTGTCACCCAGACGACAACCACGAGCACACTGAGGGAGTGGCTATCATGATGTCCTCAAGAGCATCGAAGGCTCTCATGCAGTGGGAACCAATCTCCTCCTGCAGGATCATGACAGCAAGATTCAACTCAAAAGGAAGAAAGGTCACAATCATACAATGTTATGCACCTACAAATAATGCAGAGCAAGAGAAAAAGGAGGATTTCTACAGACAACTTCAATCAACACTGGACAAGACGTCAGTTGGCGATATCAAAATTCTGATGGGTGACATGAATGCCAAACTGGGAGGGGACAACACAGGAAGAGAACTAACCATGGGTCGAGAGGCACTAGGTGAAATGAATGAGAATGGAGAATTGTTTGCAGAATTCTGTGCATTCAACGATTTGGTGATTGGAGGCAGTGTGTTCAGGCACAAAGATATCCACAAAGCGACATGGATTTCACCAGACACCAGGACACACTAAAAATCAAATCGACTTTATCTCAATCTGAAGAAAATGGAGACGCAGTCAGCCTACTTGACACAAGGTCAAGAAGAGGAGCAGATGTAGGTTCACACCACTCATTATCGAGTGCAAGGAACCTTCCAAATCAAGTTGAAAGCCTTCAAGGAAGCTGGTGATAGACCTCAATTCAAGTACAACACTCGGAAACTGAAGGATGAAACTACAAAGGAGATCTTCAAGGCAGCCATCAAGACAAAATGGGAGACATCGAGCAACATCC